TCGTACTAATTCCAACCCTCTCAACCGACCTACAATTTTTCCAATAAAGAGTGTTAACAAGGCATAGGATATTTGCTTACTTAGCCTAAATTATTGGTGGTCCGACGAAGGACATATATAACAGCTGTATTATTCTAATGTCATTGTCTTTGCTAATAATCAAACGCAAGTCACCTTCACATCAATATTGAACACCTTATATTTGGAGTTTCTTAAATAATATCATGCAAATCCTCAACTTGATTAGTCCCAATACTGAGTTGCATTTGCTTTCTTGAATGGCCTTTTTTGTTGCCACGTGTAGGAGTCAAATTCAAATAGGTCTGTAGGCTAGCTATTGGCTGCATCTATCATGTTCGTGTGTTCATATGGGCCATCCCACTTTGCTCATTCTTATCTTTATATGCATGATATATTAGGGTTTATAGCTTTCAAAATTAATTTGTTCAACTTCTTAAGCAAACCTATTTTCAAAATGGATTGCGAAATATTCATTCAGAAAGCGTGAAGTTCAAATTATTGAGATGTAGATAGGCTAAGAACCTAAAAAGTTTTGAGTCATAAAAAGCTATTTCTTATTTTACAATTCATGATGGAATAAAATATTAATTAAGTACTTTTACGTTTCAAAAATTATTGAAATACAAATAAGAATGTGTTACAAAACAACTAAATATCCTTCCCCTTTTGCCCCTTCCCTTCTTGTTAAGCATGAAATTCAACTTTCAATCCTTATATATATCATCAAAAGATGAATTTTAGGGTTTAATTTGAAATTATAAATTTTTTTAGTTCACATTGGCTATCTTAATATCAGATTAGCTAATTTATAATATTAGTAAGAGTATGAAAATACCAAAAAGAAAAAAAAAAAGAAGAAAAACCTTAAGTGATAGTCAAACATATAAAATTTTTAAGGGTATATTTTAGTTTAAGAAAATTGAAGGGAGATAAATTTGAGAAAGATGGTTGGAGTGAAAAGTAATGGTATCTTCTTTATTTCCTTTTCCTGTACTTTTATAATAGAAGTAGTATCTGAGGGAATTTTTAACTTCTCACTTTCAATATTTAATTGTTAATTGCAAATTGAGAAAACAAAAAATCACAACCCTCGAATTATAACTATAAAATCTATATAAAAATATATAGTAGAGGTCTCAATTAAATTTCATCCATTAAATAATTGAGATTTGATGTGCTAATGCCAGAATTCCCCTTTTTATGATTTTCTTTTTTTTTTTTTTTTTTGAACATGAAACATGAAAAAATTTGGGGATGGAGATATTTATTTTTAAGATGTTGGTAAAAATTAAACTCCGACCAATTATAACCAAACACTTATTACTTAGGATAAACCATTAGATTCGAACCCCGGTTCTCCCTTTCATGAATTTTATTTCAAATGCAAGTGAACTTTTTTGCAATTCCAAAATACCATCATATTTTAATAAATTTACGAGAAACAATAAACGGCAAGGGCAGGACAGAGGGCTAATTTGGAGATTGCAACAAAATTAACAGACTGTTTTTTCAACCGCCCTTGTTTCTGTTTGGATCGAAAGAAAGAAAACGAAAGAAAACGAAAGAAAATCTCAGGGCTTTGCTTTGGGGCACCGTCCAAATCATTGGGGAAGGGAAAGGTAAATTCCTTTATTTTCTTTTTTATTTTTCCCTCATTTTCCTGGGAAATTATTTGGCAGTTATTATTTTCTTGGTAATTATTTGCGGTCTTAATTAGTTACTATGTTAGAATCTAGTCTACTAGGAACTCCCAAGATTTGTTTGGATGCCGAGAAAATTTAGGGAAGTTTATCCTTTATGTTTAATTTGTTTAATTTTGACTTTAAATGCAAAGATCCCTTTATTCAATTGGATTCACTGAGTCGTTTAGATGCATAATTTCAGCTGTTTATTCGATTCTTTTGAAAATTGGAAGCCAAGGGCGCATAAAACCTAAGAATTCGAATTTTGTCTTAGTTTCTTTTCTTGAATTATTATAAATTAATGATAAGATTGTAGAAAATGAAGACGTTCTATCAATTAAAATATTAGGACTATTAATGAAAAAACTTAAATATCCTTTAAAAAGATTCATTAAGACTATTTAAATAATTTCATAAGGGTTCTGATATTAAAGTGTTTGGAAATCTTAATTTTTACTTCTCTGTTTCTAAAAGTAATAATGCCATTTAATTTTCTCATCGATGAAACATCATTCACTGATGCTGAAATGTTAGGCAATTGATGAATAGATAGCCTATATGTTTTCACTACTTTGCTTTGTTCAGCTTAACTTTTCTGCTGACTTAGATTGATTTGAAGCATTTGTACCATTTTCTATCTGATTATTCTTGGAAGACACATATTTCTGCGTTTGTATAATTGATTGATGAACATCTAATGTGTACTGGAATATCTGAAAATTCATGTATCAAATCAACAAGTTTAAGCTATTTTATAGTATTGAATTCTTTGATTCAAATTTCTATGTCAAGGAGAGTCCTCACAAGACTTGTTTATATTGTAGTTTCTAAACATTTTTTTTTTTTATATGTTGATGAGAATATGTTAATTGAGGAATTTGCAGCAGTTCAAAGTGTGATGCGTTTTCAGACTGCTGGTCGCAACCAGAGATCCAGAGGGTTTCATTATGTCAAGCTGGCATTTCAGTTGACATTGTTGACTGTGTTCATCTGGTTTCTATACCAAATCACACACTCAAACAAGGACCATTTAGGAAATGCAGAAACCAAGTTCAAGGAAGGGCATGATGCTATCAATCTGGGGCGTAAGCGGAATGTGGGGCAGTTGAGTGGAGTTATAAATACAGCCAATCAAGGAGATGAAAATGTAGAAGTAGTAGGAGGTAAACAAGAAGACCGAAGTGGTGGAGATGTTGTAGAGAAGAAGGAAAATGAGAAGGAACTAGATAAATCATATAGTTTGATAACAAAGAGTGCTGACAATTTTGAAAGTGAAGTAAAAGTGAAAGAAAAGGATAGAGAAGTTTCTAGTCAAGAGAATTTGCAAGAGAGACTCGAAAATCCTCAGAGAGATGTGACAAATCTTGATGGGGTAGGAGATCAGAAGGACCTGGAAAAACAGATTAATTCTGATGAACAAGGAGATTCAAAGGATTTAGATGGACAGGTTAAGAAACCCCATGAAGATAGGGAAATTAGTACCCATACTGTTGTAGAAAGTAGAGATCAAGTAGTGGGTGAAAATAGAGAGCATGATGGAGATAAAGACCTTAGAAGTGATAAGAAGCTGGCAATGCGGCCAAATGGAACAGACAATAATCTTGTTCTTGGCCAGAGTACTGAAATGACCACTGAAGAAATTGGATTCCATGATGAGAATGGTGTTCCTCAAGATGGAAGTGATGCTCTAGACTTCACAATTACTGAGTCAAGAGATGGCGAAGCAATTAAAGTTCAATATCAATAAGTAAAGAACACATCATAAGTTTGAAAAATCGAATCAAGATCAGTAATAAGACCTTGAGTAGAAGAAGTGGTCACACGGACACTTGAAGCATCAATCAGGTTTGAGAAATAGCATAGCAATATTATTAGTGTAAGATTAGTCCTATATTATAGCGAAGAGGGAAGATGTCTTTGCAAGACAACAGTAACAGGAGAATAAGAGAAGTATATGGTTTTCTTCTTTATGAGATTGTAAATTTCTCAGGGAATGACGGCATGTTTTATCATAAGAGGATAGAAGATATTTAGTATTGTTATATAGAAGTTCAATGTTAGCGTGTTGGGGATATGAGTTTGAATCCGTTAGTGACAAGAAAATTTCAGCATGCCATTTCTGCAACTCTCTGGTATGGTTTAATTAGGTACTTGTGAACATGACAGTTTACAGATACCTATGAAACTAATGAAAGCTGAAGTTCAGATCCCCGCGCTATTTTTGAAAAAAAAAAAAAATTAAGATTACATCTGGTATGAGAGATTAGCATGATTTTGTAACGAGTTAAGACTTAAGAGTGTATTTGATTTAATTGATTTTATCAGTTTATAACTTTTATCCCTTAAATAATTAGTTTGAGTGTTTGAAAATATCAACTGACTTACTAATATCATTTATTAGCTAACACCGTCTCTAACAACAAAACTAAACATAGCCTTAATCATTTTCGGTTGAAGGCTTGAAGCTCACCATGTGACAGAAAGCTACATAAGTGGCATATACCTGAAAACAAGAGGGTGCCGCAATACAGAGATGATGTCTATGTCTACAAAGATGGCAACATTCTCTATATGAATTGAGGGAATTAGGTTATGGCCATGACTGAGCCCATCCACCCAAATTGAGCATTTTAGGCCTTTCGAAAAAATATTTTGATACGTCAGATGATTAGATTATATAATATGAGATAATCATTTTATTTTCAAATCCTCTCTCAACCCATTTTAAGATTAAAACTTGAGATTTCTAATATACAAACTCGTGAACGCCTGAGAAAATGTTAAACAAGACTGGAAAGGATACAAACCTCTGTTCTCAAGTGGATAAATACATCTGTTTTTTGGGCCGAAAAAACAAAAGGTGGATAAATACAGCTACGGATACAAGTGTGGGAGCCCCAACTCATTTTTTGTTACATCAAGTCCTTTGTTAGTATGTGAATCGCCAAAATAAACTGAGGTGACATTCACAAGATCTGACAAGGCAAAACACCGTGGCCATGAAAATGATACTGACCTCAAGGCTTGAATTTCTTTCCTCGTTTTTAATGACCAATCGACAGCACGGGCTGGTCAGTGTTCCTCAGGGCCCAAGTGTTCTGAGCCGGATAGTCTACAGGATGTGCTCTGCTATCTGTGTCTCCAAACTTATAGCCAATTTACAAGTTGTCTTCTATTTCATCAGGTACAAGTAACTTTTCAATGGCAGCCTGTTCAAGAATCCAAGTGATGAGATCAGATGCACAGAAATCATTATTCATAACTTAAGATGAACAAGATTCAAAAGTCCAGATAAAGAACAATCCTGGAGAGAAAAAGTATCATACCATCTAAAATAATGGGGCAGTGAAAGAAAAGGAAAAAAAAAAAAGGCTAGAAGATTGGCTAATTACCTTGATTAAAGCAACATCAGTTGCAGATGGCTTCAAATCCAAAGCAATACCAAAATGAAGCATGGCCTTCTCATGCATGTTACGCTGCTTATAGATCTTGCCCATCAAAGCATAGACACTGCTTTCATGGGGGGCATACTCCTTAAGTTCCTCTAGGACTTCTAGTGCTTCATCAAACTTTTCCAAGCTCATGAGTATATTAGCCTTCTCATACATGGGAAGAGGATTCTTCTTGTCTGCTACAATAGCCCTCTCCATCATCATCAGAGCGTCCTCACTTCTCTGTAAATGATATTGAGAAAAAGTTTAGATGGCTACTCAGGGTTGCAGGGCTTCCTCAAGCTAAAGATACCATAAACAGAATAAGCAGCCAGACCTTTAAGGCATGCAAAGCTGTACCAAGATAAGACATTATAACAGACGATCGCCGATTTATTTCAAAGGCTTTTCGGAAGTGATGTTCAGCAAACTCAAACTTCTCCTGTCGAAGAAAGATCATTCCAAGCCCATACCAGGAATTATAGTGCCTTGCATCAATCTGTAGTGCGCTTTGGTAGCTCCTCAGTCCATTCTCAAAATCCTCTAAAGCTACATACCTGCAGGTAAAATTGTAATAGAAGAACTTCAATACACTACTGAAATTTGTAGGGTAAAGATTGAAATTAAAAGGGTTGACTGAGAAGGAAAGAGCCATGTCATACTCATGACCACAAAGGGTATGTGCATAGGCAAATCTTGAATTTAGCTGCACAGCTCGCTGGAAATTTTTCAGAGCAGTTTCGTGGTCTTTCTGCATGCTGTAACAGTTTCCCATTGCACACCTGTAATTCCGTAAATAAAAAAGACAAACATGATGCCAGGACAATTAGGAACATGAACTTTAAAATTAGCTAAAAGCACATAACTAGCTATTTATCAATATACACAGTTAAGGTTTAAACAGATGTTGCTCATATCAATGTTGCTCTTGTAAGGTCCACTAAAGTTACCATGATTGAGGAGCTAGGCGATCAGTTGATATCAGTTCTTGAGCCAAGTAACTCAACTTCATATCTTCCTTTAAATGCTGTTGCAGAGGTTAAGATAACTTTTAAAAACAGCACTGCAATTGTTAGAAACTAAGCAGAATGTGTACCATAATATTTCAACTCCTAGGATTAAGGAAACTTACATATAGAACAGTCGAATATATATCCATTCCTTCTAAACTGTAAGGTGATATCCGATGTGCAAGACTGAATGCACGATCAGCTTCTAAATAATCTACCAACTCAAAATATGCTTTCCCAACCTGCATAAATTCTTAGAAAGGTAAGGCATGCAAAAAAAAAGAAAAACAAATGGTAGCTTTACCATTGTACCAATAGACCTATAGAACAACATTAGGATGAATTAAATGAAAATTGATAAAATTGACCAGTCTATGAGATAACAGCACCAATAAACCTGATCCACTTATCTCCTAAACCCTCTCCTTTACTCCACATTACTTTGGAGCACTTAGTGATAAATTTGGTCTTCAACAACAGATCTGATAGGATATAATTCCTTTTTCTTTTTTTTTTTTCTAAATATGGCTACATGACAGACATGAAGAGGAAGTTCTATAGCAATGGTAATGGAATTAAACTTCTCTGGGCTTATAGCCAGAAAAACCTAGTTCTTATCCTGAAGATGAAACCAAATCAAAAACAATTTCTCCGTTAATCTCACTAAAATGCATACAACTATCCGTAACTTATTTATGATGTATATACTAACCACATCTACTCTGAATACACATGTGGATGATCATTTATTAAATTTACAATTCAGAACTCTGATCAAATGAAATTTGAAAAATAAGAACAGAACACTGCCAAAATTACCTGGGAAAGCACCCAGCCCGTGTTATAATGCTTATGTGGTAGTTTCAGATAGACATCCAGTGCATCCTGTAACAGCAAGAAGCATATTCAAACAATTAAACACAACCAAGAATTGAGAAAACAGAATTTTATTTCTTCAACATAAATGTACAATTACCTGGCACCTATACATGCTAGATAGTCGGTAGCCTTCTCCAAGAATTCTCAGAAGGCCTAATATTTCTGATGCACCAGTCATGACCCTTGAACTGCTCAGAGCAACCCCACCAGATGGAACATTCACACCATCCTGCTCTAGGGATTTAGTGTCACCAGAAGATAATGAACTAGAAGTTGTAGATGAAATACTTGCACGAGAATCGTCAAAAGCCTCATTCCTTGTTCCTAAACAGATCAGAATTGATAGTTGAGCTTTCAAGAGTCACTAAGCAGACACAAGAAAAGAAGAAACACAGTGAGTCTAAAATTTTCAGGTTCTATGGGACCAAGAAAAATCAAACAAATGAGAAGTGAGAACACGATCATGTCTCAAGAACATTGGGAAATATGAAAACTTATACTACCTCTAACAGAATATAACATTCATTCTCAAGACCATGGTATGTCAAAAATATAACATCAAACTTCTCTAAACTTAATGATATTTAGAACTTTGATAATTGCTACAGGCAACGTACAAAGAAACATTAGAGTGCCAATCAGTCCATATGAAGATTAGGAGATTCATCACCTTCTTCTATATTTTCATTAGCCCAAGCCTGACCCTTACGAACGGTCACAGAACGAAGTGAGACAGAACTCAACTTGGAACCACCAAGATATTTATTAGAGTTGTTGGCCCCATTTCCAGCTGCTGTGGTAGCACCTGCATTAATGTTTGCCCCAGCATCTGCAGCAACTCTTGTACTTCGGCGTGGACCAGAATCAGAGAATAATCTCCCAGAAATCTGCTACAATGGGTTGGGGGTGAATTGCAATTTGTATAAATTACAATGATAAAGTGCATGATGAATAGACACAATACTAGTACTGCTAAGTAAGAAATTAGGAATGGATACTACTAAGTAGGAATGGATATATTGAGCTATCACCGCTGAAAAGACAGGATATCAGTTACACAACAAGCAGAAAGATGCTCTTAGGCATGGATCTACATTCAACCACAGATTTATATACCACCAGCAATAAGGTTGACTACAACTTTCCTTCAAAGACTTGACAAATAAAGCTCATTATATCATTTCTGCTCAAGTTAATACCAAAGCCCACTGACAAAATATTTGATAATTTAACCCTAGCTTCAATGAGAGTAAATCTGCTCCATGTCTGACGCTTGATGTTTTAAGGTTCATATGGAGATTCTATACGATATATAGGTTTGGTAACCATGAAGAATCATGAAATCAATTACAATGGCACTAAATCTCATCCAAATCTCTAAACCATCAGAAGTGATAAAAAAATGACAATTTTCACAAGTAAAATGATAAATGCACATCTTACCTTTCTTAATTTTCCTTCATCCATAAACTTTCTTCTAGGTGCTTGTATGGTAGAGTTCACAATTGATTTTGGCGAACTATCCACATTAAGTGTATTAAGGTTTGAGCCATTGGGATGCACATTTCTGCATGGAGGTGGTGGAGCAACACCTGACAACTACAAGATAAAGGGGATGAAGGGAAGTCAGGTAAATATATTCTCTATGCAGAAAAAAAAAAAAGTAAAGCATAAAACAATCTAATGAAAATGGAACTTCAGATCCAATTGTGAATCAGAAATGTGCATTTTCATTTCATTACACCTGTGAAGCCATTGGTGAAGGAGTATTGTAAAATGGCATGTTTGAAGTTCCACCATTTAAAGGCTGTGTAGCAGCTCCACTCAGCATAGATGCTCCATGATGGTTACTGGGAACATCTCTAAGGTTATTGCTTTGCATGTTCTTGAAGTGCCTTGGACTGATATCTTCTGAACTGAAGTTTCGAGAAGATATGAGATTGTGGTCCTCACTGGAAGTATGCAGGTTTGGAGAAGATGAACCATGACTTAAATACTGTTTCTGAATTCCAAGAGCAGCTACTTCCCCAAAAACTGCAGTTGCTTCTTCGGCAGCACCTGAACAAGGGGAATAACTTAAACTGAGACATACATGCCAAAACAAGCACCAATGACAATATGAGCTGAATCATTAGGGAAACAAGAGGGACACTCTGAATGCGTTTGGATCACATATGAGAAATAGAGAGAAGGGTAACAATTTGCAGATCCGTTAAAGTGGCATTCTTAACAGGTGAATTCCATAAAAAAGAATAAAAAAAAAAAAAAGGAATAATGTCTGTTCACACAATCTAACTAAGAATTAATCAGCTGCTACAAACAGGCCTTATGAAACTAGCTGGGTAGCTTTGCAGTTTTTTCTTTATACAAACCTAACATGCATAACTCCTCATATGCAGCCCAAAGTAAAGGATCTATAGACAAAGCCAGCTTAAAATGACGGATTGCAGTTTTTCTTCTGTCTGTGTACCTGAGAAGAGACAACATCCAACTCAAAAAATCAGAATCAATTGAATGCAACCAGGTCCACCATCCCAGTTGCAAAGCTATAGAAAAGTTAAAATAATACAAGTTAGAGAAAAGAAAAAAGTCCATCCCAAAATCATTAATCCACATTCAAGCATGTCACTGGCTAAGCTAACCATTGCATAAGAGGGAAAAAAAATGAAACAGAACTTAACTCAAAATTATAACTAATCAGTATTTCCGGGACCATCTTCCAAGAAAATGCCTAAGAAATTAATCCCCATAATATTTTAACGAAATCAGAAGCAAAATGCCAATTCATCCTTGCAGTTTCTAAGAGGGTAACAACTTCTACCAACCTGTAAATCAGCCCGAGAAGATAATGACCAGCTGCACCATTTGGAATCTGTGAAAAGATCACAAGTTAACAAATTGCCCCCATCACAAGAATGCCAACAAAACATATGAAAAATATCAATATCCTCAAATACCTCTGCATTAGGCTCATTAGCAGCACATAAAGCTGCTTCAGCTTCATTAAGTAAATCCATCCGAAAGCATGATATTGCAAACAAGTAGCGGGATTGAGCCATTTGGGTACCTTCACGCAACAACAAAAACAAAAATTTTCCAATAAGCAACAACAGAATGAACTATAGCTTAGATTAAAGAAGAAGGAAAACAATAATTGAAACTTCAATATACATACCCTTCAAAATATGATATGCAGAGTAAGCTTGATTATTCTGCAAGTAGCAAGCAGCTAAAAGCTGCGAATTAATCTACAAACAAAGAAGAAGAAAAAAATATATCTTTAGGATTCCCTCGGAAAACTTAAAAGAATTCAAAACCGGAGAAGTTAAAGTTGAGATTCTGTTTTGCTAGGCGGAAATCGGATACCTCAGAGGGAAACTCAGCGCAGAGACGTTCGCAGAGGAAAATGGCGTTCTTGAACATGAAATGGCGGAGACTGTTGTGCACACAGTCTGTGAGTATCGCTTCCATGGGCTTCTTCTTTCTTGTTCCTTCTCTGAGATTGAGAGAGAAAGGGGGAAAGAGAAGGTTTTCTGGTATTTTTGGTGTTCGTTTTAGGTTTCAAAATAAGGTGGCACGTGTTATGTTGTTGTTCAAATTGAAGCATCACGTGACATTTGTTCAGTAAATCTAGCTTTGCCCCTCAGCTGGCAGGCAGTAAATAATAGCTCAGATGATTTTTTTTTTTTTTTTTTT